AAAGTTTATGAAATTCTGTCTCATTTGTTGATTATTCCATAATGAAATTGTCCTGCTGCAGATTTATTCGTGGAATTTGTATTCCCTTTTTATTCAGTGAACATCAACGGGCGCCTTTTATTTAATTTTCATCAATTTTTTAACGGCGTTAAGCGATTTTATGAATTAAAATTTTATTACTAACGCATTTGACTGATTGAAAATTTTTATTGAAACTGAAACAGCAGGTCTAAACGGTATAAACAATTAGTGGAAAATAATTACATTTGACGATAATAATGCCATTAAAATAAACAATCTTTTTCAGATAATTGAATATTCTATTTTATTGGAGAAAATGAAATTTGAATAATCTATTTTATTGGAGAAAATGAAATTTGAATAATCTATTTTATTGGAGAAAATGAAATTTGAATAATCATTTCGATTTGACTGGAATTGCACATTAATCTGGGCATGTTATTTATCTCGAAAAGTTTGACGCATGCATATCCGACGTCTTCCCCGTGACGTCGGTATGCTCGACGGATGATGACGTAAGTGAGCGCCCGATGAATTGGAATCCGGGTTAAATTCACAGACCGAGCCAGAGGATTCTTACCCCCGGATCCAGCTGTTCCCATCGGTATGGAAGGACATGGTGGAGTCTCGTTGGATTGTCAGAATCAGATTGTGCGACAGACCGATTCCCGGACTCGCGGTTGTTCCCGTGGTTTGATTCCCCCGTTGTTCCAATGCACGAGAGAGAAGAGATTCTGCGGCTAGGAATCCTGGAGCCACTGCCCATCGATCCAAACGCACAAGAAGATGCCTCATCTGGCGAAACAACTCATTTCCTCGACTTCCTCCGGTAATTATTACAATCTCTCGACGATTCGAAAAATTCCTTCATTAAAAATACTTCAATAATTTCAGCGGATCAAATAAAAAATAAAATGACAAATAAATAATCAGTCGTTGGGGGGATGGATTGGTGATGGATTGGTGATTGATTGGTGATGGATTGGTGAAATCAGTGGGTCCTAATTCTTGAAAATTTCAGTATATCTGACAGGGGATCAAACGAAGAGGTCGATCCTGAGTAACATATAAAGTTTAATCTGATTTAGTCGTATAAATAGTCACCGAGATGAGGAATCACCTCTCGGTCAATAATGACCCACTTCACGTACCATAAATACCGAGATGTTGAACCCAATTAACCTATGACCTGCACGATTACCTCCCAGGTAAAACCATTATAATACTCTCAATTCCCTCGCATTGTCCGTTCGCCGATTATTAATGAGATAATGAGAAATCAGATAATTTGACTGTGGAAAAATGGTAGTGAAGTTATTCGGGCGTGTGATTATTCACTCGTCTTGAATTCGTCCAATTCTTCAACGGATGCTCAAAGTTTAACACCAGTTAACGTATTACTGACTGGGAGTTACTCGAGGGAATGGGCAAGCTTTTTTTTTCTCTCTCTCTCTCCTCAAGACGTGATAGCTGGATGGTACTTTTTACACGGGACTTCACGGTTATGTGTTTCAGGATTGGCCTCGGGCAACACCGCTGATGTTACCGAGTTTTCTCCGAGTCTAAGTACTTTCCTCGAACTTCGATGGGGAGTAAAAGTTTAATAATTTTACTGGCCAACGAACACGCCGGCAAATGTTGTATCTTAACGGCGGGTTATGCTGCCAGGCATTTTGAGAATTGAAGACAATTCTTTTTTAAATTCATTGTAACGCTTTTTGAAGCTTTTCCCCCTCATATATTGTGTACAATTAATTTCATTAATTAATTCTATTAATTTATTCACAGGATCCGTCATCAGTCTTAAATGTTGCGCACTGTTTCTCACTAGTCTAAATATTTCAAGAAAAAGCAATGGAAATTTATCTGGATTTTTCCTCAACCGGTCCACCACGCCCGATTATCGCTATCCAGATTTTTCCACTGAATTAAGAAAACAGCTCAACAAAACTATTTTATTCCCCTGTCCCTGGCGTTCTCCACGTCCCACCGATAATAAAGATGTCACCGGATGCACGAGTGGAGATGACTACAATAAATCCCTGAATTTCTCAAAGCAGCAAAAACCTCAGAATTAATTCCAAATTCCTCACGCTCACGATTTCTTTATTACAACTGCAATAAAAGTTTTCCGTGAACACCGACTCTCGTTGGAATTCCCTGAAAGCCGGGAATCCTTTTATTATATTTTAGTATTCATTTAAAATTTATTCGTTTCACATTACATAAAAATTTTATATCATTTTTATTTAGGGTAACACGTAAAACGTCCGATTTCTGATTATTTTTTTATTGTTTTCTGGGCTCAAATGAATTTATATTAAATTGTTTACTGCGCAGAAGTATTATACTAGTAAAATATGATTGCCCTCAATTATTTTTCAAGAGATTGCAATATTTTTCGTTGTGGTTGTTTGATTTAATATTGTGAGTTGTTTCATTCTGATACCCGCAGAAATTTCATTGAGCATTCATTCCCGCTATTTATTTCCTCTCATTATTTCAGCATTTACGATTGGAGTGATGTTTTCATTAAAAGCATCTTCTCGATTCACACGTCGGAGAAGTTAAGCCCGGAATAGACTTCTATGTTAGCTCCTCTGAGTAAACGGTGATAAAGCCACGATTGCCGTCTTCATATCTCTCCTATCCGAGTGTTGTTGGTTGCAATGAAAGCAACGAATGTGACGCGTGCCGGCGCAATGTTGGCTCAACGTCGGGAGAATGATACAAGTGCATGTATACGAGATAACGCGGATAACGTCACCCGTTATTCCGTCGCCCACCTGCAAACCCAAATTGCCAAAGTACACGAGGTATTTTTACGCCACTCCATTTTTTTTTTTCTCCTCTGTCCATTTGTGAAATTGTGAGTGCCTGATGCGGCGGCACTCGCCATTTGCGTTTGCAGAGATTATTTTTATTTTATTACTCGTCAATTTCGAGGATCAAAGCTAGATTAATTGCCAATCGCAACGACATGTCGCACCGTGCAATTAAAACCGTAATGAAACGCATCTGATCGAGTGCAACGATCCAGGAATTATGCGGATTAATGAATTGGGCGTAATTTTTTATTGGATATTTCGAACATAAAATATACACTGGATCGTCCACCCAGAAGACACTGGAGTGTATTCGCCTCTCAAAAGAACTCGCTTATCGTATACATCCCCTCATTCCGAGTTTACGAGCTTCTCGACGGTTAGAATAGCTCGAATACATCCCCTGTCTCCCCCTCTTTCATACGAAAATGTTGGATTATAAAGTCTGGGTCGTGTGGCTGTTAGCAATTTTCATGGAGAGGGATTGAGGGGATAAAAAACGTAAAAACAGTGCACACACTTTGCCGAAGAGAAAATTCAAAAGATCCTCTTATTCTGCCCTGATGGGTCGCCATGGTGATGCTGTATCTCATCATCAACACTCTCAAAAATTCAAATCAACCTGAGAAGAACCACCGCAGAAGTTTTTTTTTTATGGTAATATATTAAAATCTCTTCAGTATTAATCCTCAATTCTCATTGGCCAATGGTTCGTATGAAATTAATTACTAAAGCTTGAAATTTCACTTAAAAATTGAATGAGTTGTATTCATTTTATAAATAATTATATGAGGACAAAATTTATAATTGTATTTTTATCGAAATTTTACCCTTTCTCGTAATTACGGTTATTATTACCAAATGAACCAAATTAATTTTTTGGATAAGAATAATTGTCTCGAAATAGTACAGAGAATTTTCGCTCTCATTATTCAAATGAAATTTGAAATTCTCTGCATTAATTTCTCCTTCTTTCACACGCCGAGGGTAAACGGAAGAATTTTCCTTTTCTCAGAAAGAAGTTTGAAAGAATATCATGTAGACCCTGTGACTTTATGACTGACTCAAGATTGGAAGGGAGCGGAAACCTACGGACTCCGTACGTCATTCTACCCTCAAACTTATACACGAAAAGAGTCGGGGGATGATAAAAACCGGTAAAAATGAGGGTAGAATCTCCGTTCTGTCCGACGAGTACTCGAAGAAAGTTCAAAGAAGTACAGCACCTAGAACGGGTAATGGAAAACCGAGGGCCCGGGATTCGAGTTATTCTTCTTCGTTGCCCCAATCGCTCAGAGTCGATTCAACGACTAACGATCTGCAAACAATTCGACTTTACCGTAAGGAAACAGCCCTTGAAATTCAAATAAACCTTCGAATTTTACACTACGAGAAATTTATATTTACTTATATCGAGGGGCTAATTATCGGTGAAATCACTGCGTCACTCTGAATTATAAAAGTCACATGAAATCTCATGAAATCATTGTCATAACATTTCAAATTATCGTTATCATAATATATTCACAGATTTTAACAATGTTTTTCAAATTTAATGTATATCATTATAACAAAGTTCGATTTTTAACGATGAAAATTGAATCCAACAATAATAATTAAATGATTCTCGATAGGGAAATTATATTTCTGGATAGACGTGATTCGCGAAAGACCTTGAGCAGTCTCAATAGTACTCCCCTATGAATAGTCGTACCCCAAAATGAAAAAACTGGTAGCGTCGGGTGGCAATAAAGCCCCCGAAAACCGCATAACCCTCGAAAGAGAAAAAAAATCTATAAAAAAGCTACCGGGACCTTTGGTGTGTCGATGACCCGTGTAATTTGTAACCCGAGATACCGCGCCATCGAAATATATAGATTTGACCTTGCGGATTGTACGCCCCCTCGAAATCGGGTGGCGTTTTGAGGTACCGTAAAGTGGGTGGTCCGCGGCTGAATTGACGGTGCAAAGGGCCGCGGGGGGAGAGGAAGGCCATTGCGGACAAGTGTAGTTGTAGTTACCCATCTTCGGCAACCCTCCACCACCCATTTTCCCACCCAACCCCCACCTTCAACATCGTTTTTGCCCTCGTCCCCGAGGCGAGGAGCCACCGACGTCAGGCGCTTTCTGTTGCGGCCACTCGTGTGGCGCACATCGCCCCGACAACATCCCATCGAGACCATCATTTTCACCTCCTCAGGTTGTCAATACCACGCGGTAAATCCACCCCAAAACCACCCCCAAAATCGCCCCAACAATTCTCCAGAAAAAAGTCCCTCCAAATTACCACCAAAAAAGCCCAAACAACCCCGAAATATTTCGTGAAAATTCCGATAGCCCGCGAATTTTCCGCGAATTCGTTCGGAAAAGCTTCGCTGTTGACATTTCCCCCGGCGCGGGGGGAAATTACACACGTCGGTCAGTGGATTTGAGTTCACGTGACGTCGACGATACGAGATTTGGAAATTTGTCGTGCATTGTAAGAGGGGCAGAGGGCGAAAAGGGGTGGCTGATAAAAAGGAAAAATTGAAAAGAAAAAATTGAGCAAAGAATTGAGTGAAAGAGAGTGGGGGTGAGTGGTGGGGCCACTTGAAAAAAGTCGCAGTGCTACGAATTTCTGGGATAGAGTGAGAAGGGAAAAAAGTGAACTCGAGAACAAAATCCACGGAAGTCCCTTTGTGGTGACTTTTTTAAGTTTTTTTTTCATGGCATTTCTTCATCCATTTGCTGGGGCCACTGTTGTGCATTAAAAGTGCGGGATATTGGGAGTTTCGGGGGGATCAAAGTGAAACTTGATACACGTTTTTTTTTTTGGTTTTTTGTTTTTTCTTAGTGGAAACAACAAATGTAAACTGGAGATTGGGGTATCAACGTGTTTACGATCGAAGGACCATTCAATTACGTTTATTGGAGCTATGGATTTTCCGCTGTTCCGGATTTTCGTGAGTACAATCGATTTATTATTATCGTTCGTCCGATGATTGGGCGCCAAACGGTTTAATTACCGCAAAGAGATACCGATAAATGCTGGGATAATGGTGGTTGAAGGGAATTATCTGGTTCAATCTTCAATATCTCTGGCCGGAGAATAATTCACAAAAAATTATGTAACGTATATACGAAGATTCAGATTCTATCTTCTAATTATTGCGCGTTAATTTTCCTCTGCCCCTGGGAAAAATCCATCAAATAACACATTTCTACTTCAATAAATAACGGACAAATTGCATTTTTCTACCGCTCCTGTATTGTCCTGTCCTATTAATATAAAAATGGTATTGACATCAAAGCGATGAAATAAAGGGTCTCGTATAAAAGAAATCCCAAAGAAATTAATACAACGGTATCAATAAAATCGTGTGGGTCGGGGCCAGAGGAAATGACTAGCGTCTCGAGGAGAAAAGGGGATCGACCGAGGGTTTCAATAATAAATCCACAGATGAAAAAAAAACTATTGCTTTCAGAAGTTAATTGCAAATTTTTTCCCGAAGAAATTCGTTCCCGCAATCGAACGACCGGTGAATAACACTGACAAATTTCCATCGCGGAAACATGGCCGATTTTCAGAAAAATCGTGTCAACTTCCCGGTCATTTTTATATTAATTTTATATTACCAAAAGTTCTGATTTCTCTTCGTTGACCTTGGATTTTAGGAATAAGAAGAATCGAGTGGAATTTTCGTCTTTAATTCCAGGATTGAACCAAAAAATCGGTCCATTCGGGGAATTAAAATCGTTTCGCTGTGCATTAACCGATAACACACGTTTTTGCTCCTTCATCTCATTGACTTCACCAGAAAGCGCTTTTGTGGCCTCTAACGATATCTTATTTAATGCTGTTAGGTTGGCCGTATCGAAAGTGCATTTCACGGGATATTGATATAAAATCGAAGGTAAACTCGATCGGTCGCGGTGGAAAAATGTAGAAAAAGGATTCTCTGGTTGAAAGGGCGATCTCGTTATATTTATCGCAGGTATTTCGAGGTAACATTATTCCGGGCAAATTATCCCACAGCGGTCGATCTCCACTTGGTGATCGGCATTTTAATCGCTCTCAGGTGCTCGAAAATCGAGACTCGTGGTCATTTTTACCGGAATTCAGCCGGATATATCGTCTTTATATTTTTATCTCTGTCTTTAGATGGAGTTCGAGACGATAGTTTGACGGCATGTCAACTCTGATGCTCTCGATTCAACTCACGACTCTCGATAAGTCCTTCTTGCGGGGTTTTCCGACGCGTGCTCGGATAATATGGATTCCCCTGCCATCGGTGCATTCCGGAAAAAATATCCTCGGAAGTTCAGCCGAAAGAAAATTTAACACCTCGTTAACTTGGTGATTTTAGACGGTTTTTATGGTTATTATTTCGAGATAATTTAATGTAAACATCACATTTTTTTTTATTTTCCAAAATTACTCCGTTATTTACTTTAAATTACTCTGAAAAGCAATAATTCCAATTTTCCATTTATTAATAAATTATTGACACCGCGTCTTCCGCCAATTAGTGCGACTTTTGAGAAAATAGTTCATTAGAAATCAATAAATTATTCGTTCGACGTAGATAATTTTATTTATTATTAAAAACTAAAATTCAAGTTAAAATGGGTAATTTGAGAGAATTTGATCTTCAAGATTTTCCATTGGAAATGAAAAAACGAATCATAATATCCTGCAGGTGAAAGAAGTCACGGAAAAAATCCTCGAAAAGTGCTTCGACTTCGGAAAAAAATCCGTTCGCCCCGAAAAAGGAAGGGAAAAAAAAACCGTAAAATGGAATTTCGAGAAGTAATTTTCTTTCTTGTCTCGAGTGGTCTCCCCCGGGCGTAAAGTGAAACGTTTCTCCTAGGGCTCGTCGGAGAAAGGTTGCGTCGAGGAAATAGATCCAGAGTTGGAGATGAAAAAAAAAAAAAAATTCTAGAAACGGTGAGAATGAGGGGACAGTTTTCTCGAGGTCCACTCGGCCATTTCTCACCTCGTCTAACTGGTAAAAAATAAAGCTGCACCTTGGGTCCAGCCATTCTCTGGCATTTATTGCCAGTCAATTTTGCGGGGGTCATTGAGAAGAGGAAGGTGGGGCCCCTTGTGGTGAGCGTCGCGCCCCCCATTGTCAAAGCAGTCCTTTTGTTGACTCTCGTCGCCTGAATTTTCCGGTGATACCTGTTCCTCTTGGAGAATTTTTTTTCCCTCTTTTCGCATCCCCTAGGGGGTCAAAGGGACCGCACATCAGCACCACTTGGCAGCCCAGCAAGCATGACACTGAGGAGTTTGACGAGTTTGACCCGGGAAATTCCCCTGGGTCACCTGTCTCTTCAACAATTGACCGATTTTACCCAACGCAAGTCACCAGATATTTATTTTTAATTAGCCCCTCTTTACTTTTCCATTTCTCACGATTTTCCATTTACCCACAACATGATTTATTTGAAATTAATGAACTCATCTTTTGCTATAATTTATTTACTCTCATTGAAACGAAAAGAATCCACGATTCCATTACATTTGAACGATTCTATTATATAAATATTTTTGCCGATCGAAAATCTTCGAAGATAAAATAATAATAGTTATGAATAAATGAGTGGATGGTAAATGCAATTTTTTATTTATCATCCCAGTAATGAGTGGAATAATTCCCAAATGAATTTTGCGTTTTGCTTTCCCTGAAAACTTTCGAGAGTCATGGAAAAATTTAATGATTTTTATGGGCATTCGCTTGTAGTCCAGGCTGAATAAAATGATGAGTAAATACCACAGAAGACGAATCGAAGCCCGTAAACAATTTGTATTCACTGGGAATATTGGGAACGAATGTGGGGAATTTTTTATGCCACAATTGACTCTGTCGAATTAATTTCATTCAATACAGCCCCTTTCAATCACTCCCAATACGATTTCATTTACTGAACTCAGTTTTGACTCTCGAAACCAATCGGATGAATAGACCAACAATGATAAAACTAATCCATCAAACTAATTTATCTTTCAATTAATTGGAATGAAGGTCCAATAAAAAAACTCCACCAAAGACATTGGTCTATTAATAAATTCAGAATTCAATTATTTACCGATTTATTCATTCGTTTGATTCAAGAATAATTTATTTGTCAGTCAGCTAATTAATTTGTCGGGGATTTTATGCGACCTATTTTTTAAGACCCATTCCGACCAACATCTTAATTCGTCACATAATGTTTATCAACTCGGTTTGATTATATTTTTTACGGTAAACAATTACCTGGGTGAATAAAAGCCTGTCAGATGTAATAAACCGATCAAGTGGTACGTAACTTAACAAAATAGAAACTGGAGGAACGTAATACCGAAACGATCCCAAGACGTGAGCAGTAAAACAATCTTAATTAACAGGAGAAGTCACTCCTCGGAATTGCAATTACACTTTTCACTGGCTTCAATTTTTTTTTATCGCTGTCTTTATTTATTGTAATACTATATTCTCTGGAGATACATTCTAAACATTCAAGATTCCAGTGGTCAATTAACACTCGACATCAATTCGATATTTGCGATTAGCAATATTGACCCTTTCACCCGTCAATCATCAGTCCCATTTTTCTCATCCCATCATCAATTCAACTGACATGCCTCTCGCGGATTCATTATGAAAATGTCAATAGTTGATTGACGAAATTAAGAGCTGATACTCGGTGCGAAGAAATACTCTTCCATTCGGTGATTCTCATCGGACGCTGAATTTTTTATCGTCCATCTGTGATGAAATCCCCGGAATTCCGTTTAAATATTGAGTCATTTAAGTCCCAGAGAGAAACAAAAATCCCCCATTTTATCAGCTCCTTATATTTTTTCACGTATTTGTTTTTCATGAGTGTTCAGAGAAATTTATCCTTTTGAGAGTGAATCCTCGGGTGAATCGTCCGGTGGTTAATTGATTCGCTGAATAATTACCCGAGATCAAAGAAAAAATTATCGGACGAAAATAAAACCACTGCATTTCCACTAGTCCCTTTTTCTTTGAAGATCGGATGAGTTTACCGACTTGTGTTTACATCGAAAATAAACCAGCCCCAAGCTGACTTTTAATCCGTACAAGAAAACCGCTCTGAAAGGAAAAATAAGCGGGAAATCTCTGTATTTATTGAGATTTTCCACATTAGATCAAAGAACATTAAACCCTCTAATCTTAGGTAATTATTACAATTTTTCGGGAAAATGAGGAAATCGCTGAACTGTTCGCCGAGATAATATTTGAGTTAATTAATTCATTGAGGGGAAATTTTCTCGTTTTTTTCATACGAAAAGTATGGAAAGTCCCGATTTTTCAATTAAATTGTTTCTGGAAAATGTTGCAAATTTTTTAGAGTTCTTGGTGACACCGGAGTTTTCATTTTTCCACTGGAGGGAAATGAGAGAAAGGTCGAAGGGATTGCGGTCGGTTGTACCTTCAGTCGTTACCACTTGTGTCTTACTGGTACCGAAGACCAATAATTGTCCAGTGAATGTAGATGGCTTTGATGTCAATCAGGAAGATAATGGACGTGGAATTGACGTCCTTGGCGTTCTAATGATTAGAGAATTCCGAGAATTAGAGAAATAATTGTGGAGATAATCCCTTTCAAAATTCTACGCCATCAATATTTTTTTCATGAAAACAAATTTTCCTTTGGGAAAAACTCTGAAAATTCTCTCTATGTCAACTGATTAAAAAAAATCTCTGATTTTCCAGAAAAATTATGGGAAAAATTAATTCTGGAAAATGTAAAGAAATTTTGTGCAATTCACTGACTTCAGGAAAATTTTACGGAATAATTTTTTTTTTGAATTAAAGAAAATTCCCACCCTTGAAGGAAATCGAAAAAAAAAATCCTATCCGCGATTGCGGATCAACGGATTTTTTATGGATGTCCCTATAAAACAACTGCACGGCGTGTAGCGTCCTCACAACAACGATTTCCTCTCGAA